CCATAAACTCTAAAATTCAATTTACTATGGAGTTAGAGGCAAATAATTCTTTAGCTTTCCTAGATGTGTTAGTCATTCGAAATCCTAATAACACCGTAGGTCACACTGTGTATAGAATAAAGACCCATTCAAAACGAAACTTAAACGGTGAATCCCACCATCACCCTTCACAGTTAGCTACCGTGGACAAATCTTTGTTGCAGAGAGCACGAGGGATCTGTGACAGCAAACACCTGGCCGCCGAGCTTCAGCACGTCAAGCAGGTTCTGCACGACAACAAGCTTCGGGTTCCGCGCCTGCGTCACAGTGACCGAGTGAAGCCGGCCACAGTCGAGCGTGTGCCTGCTGTACTACCATATGTCAGAGGTGTCACAGACAAGATTGGCTACATCTTAAAGCGAGCTTCTATTAGAACATTCTTCAAGCCGCCGAAGAAGAGTAGTCAGTTCTTACCATCCGTCAAGTGCAATATTCCTCTACAAGATGCAGGAGTATACAAGCTTGATTGTGAGTGTGGTCTCTCATATATAGGACAAACAAAACGATCAATAAAAACCCTCGTAAAAGAACACATAGCTGACGTGAAGCACTAACGTTCCGGGAAGTCTGCAGTATGTGATCATATCCTAGACGGCCCCCGCCATTAGATTTGATAAACCACAAGTTCTCGCGAAAGAACATCGATTCCTGCTAAGGATGATACGTGAGGCTATTGAAATTAAAAAACATCCTAATTTCAATAGACAGGGAGGCTGGGTACTACCACCTGCTTGGGGTCCTGTAATTCATAAAATTAAAACTAAACCCAAGCATACCACTGCAAGACTTCAAGACACAGTTAGTTCATTCTGCGTAGATCAGACCAAAATTAATAATTAAAAAGCTGAAGGTACTCCGGGTTAACTTTTACATCGGGACGTCAATCACCTCAGTCCCCCGTGACCACGGTTGCAGGAAAGCAACCGAAACGTCGGGAATATAAAATAACTTAATTAAACGCGATAAAATCCGTAAAAGTAGTTTTATTCAAGGTACAAAATTTATTTTAGAAACAGCTTAAAAGAAAAAAATCCTCGGAAGACACAAGTATGCGCTTTTACCGATAAAAAGAACCCCTTTGTCATATCTCCTCAGTTTTTTTTATAGGAGAGGGGCAAACGAGCATGCGGCTCACCTGATGGTAAGTGACTACCGCCGCCCATGAACAGTACGCTCTTTTCTTGAAGGTCCCTAAGTCGTATCGGTCCGGAAAAATCGCTGATGGTAATCGATTCCACAAGGAGGTCGTGCGAGGAAGAAAACATCTTCTAAATCGCACAGTGGTGGACCGCCAATCATCCAGATGGTGTGGATGGTATCGGGAATTCTGCTGCGATGTGCGTTCGTGAAATTTGGCAGCTGGGATTAATCCGAACAATTCCTCAGAGCACTCCCCGTGGTAGATGCGAAAGAAAATGCAAAGGGATGCAACATCTCTTCGCAGTGCCAATGAATCGAGCCGATCTGAAAGTACTCGGTCCTCGACGATTCGAGCCGCTCTGTGCTGGATGCGGTCAAGTGGAAGGAGCTGGCACTGGGGAGCCCCTGCCCATGTGAGGCCGAACCTGCGCCTTGTAAAGTTGCAGGCGGTGTGCCGGCATGAAATACTGTCCCGCTCTGCTGAGCACGCCAAGCTTTTTAGAGGCCAATTTGGCCTTCTCTTCCAAGTGACCACGAAACTGCACGTCACTCGATATGTCGACTCCGAGGATACCGATACTGGCTGAGGCAAGAAGGGGAGTGCCTTGAAACTGAGGAGATACGACAAAGGGGTCCTTTTAAGCGGTAAACGCGCAAACTTGTGTCTTCTGAGGATTAAACTGGACTAGATTTAGTCGCCCCCAATCCGAGACTTTGCTCAGCAAAGACTCGACTTCAGACACAAGTTTGTTCCGGTACTCAGCGACGTTTTCCCGAGAAATATTGGCACGGCCGGTGTATAGAGCATCACCAGTGCTGTCATCCGCATAGCAATGAATATTACCAGTTAGCAACATATCATTGATATGCAGAAGAAACAGCGTTGGTGATAGCACACAGCATTGTGGAACACCAGCGTTAATAGGCTTGTAGTCGGAGCATGCACCGTCTACAACGACCTTGATGCTCCGATCTGCAAGGAAGCTGTGATCCGATTGCACAATTTCTCGGGAAGCCCATAGGAAGGGAGCTTCGAAAGAAGCGCTTTGTGCCAAACCCGATCGATGGCCTTCGCAATGTCCAAACTAACGGCCAACGCCTCCCCCTTGGACTCTACTGCCTCTGCCCATCTATGGGTCAGGTAGACCAGAAGATCACCAGCTGATCGACCCCGACGAAAACCGTATTGGCGTTCACTAATCAGCTGGTGATCCTCAAGGTACCACATGAGCTGGCAGTTAATAATTGATTTCATTATTTTGGAGAACAAGGAGGTGATCGCGATAGGCCTATAGTTGGACGGGTCTGAGCGGTCGCCTTTTTTAGGGACCGGGTGGACAAAAGCTGTCTTCCATGAATTCGGGACTACGCCTTGGGAGTAGGAGTACCGGAAAAGACGCGTTAGGACCGGTGCCGACTCCGGAACACACGTTCTCAGCATAATTGGGGGGATTCCGTCAGGCCCACTCGACTTCTGGATGTCCAGGGAGAGGAGTGCTTTGCGAACCGAGCGCTGTGAGAACAACACATCCGGCATGGAGCACTCACACCGCGGGATGGTCAATGGTGTTTTCCCCCCGTCATCAAGAGTCGAGTTGGACGCAAAAAGGGAGCCTAAAAGGTGGGTTTTGTCTTTTGCTTGGAAGAGAAGGTCAAATTGGCCTCTAAAAATTTGGCGTTCTCAGCAGAACGGTACAGTATTTCATGCCGGCACACCACCTGCAACTTTACAAGGCGTAGGTTTGGCCTCACATGGAATACTGTTCCCATCTCTGGGTAGGGGCTCCACAGTGCTAGCTATTTTATCGCGTCTACCAGTATCAGGCGAGCCGCATGCTCGTTTGCCCCCTCTCCTATAAAAAAATAAAAAATAAATAAAAGCAAACTGTCATAAATATTTTAAGCATGTTTCGGAGTCCTGGTCCTTTTTTTTTTTTCAGTTACATTATTTAGCAATAATAAATTTCTCAAAGTTGTGTTAAAACAATATAATGAAAATTTTCATTAAAATTATCTTAACTTACTTTGAATTAAAATGTTTTGTACTCCTGCTTCTACGAGCCTCTTTTTTTTCTAATGCTATAGAACTATAGCTTGCTACAGATTTATTGCCTCATCCACACGCTTCGCAAACAACAGCAAACAGCATTCACCAAACAGCAATCACGAACATGTGGATGGTTGTTTGCCTGTTTGTTTGTTTGTATGCCAGTGATCGGCGTTGGTGTCGGTTTTTGTGCACCGATCAAAAGGTGTTCGACAAACGTGTTTGCGATGTATCCACACGTTTGGCAATCAGTCAGTGGTACGCGCGAGTTTGCGGCTTGCGGGCGGCGCAAGGAGTTACTAGTGGCTATTATTATTATACTCTATGCCAATGTTACCAATCCGAAATTTGTCTCGGAGGTAAATATGATTTCAGAAGTTGAGTTTCCTACCAATTTTAATTCGAAAAGTTTGTAGATCTACCACCTATATTTTTTTAAGTTTTCTAGAGACCTCCCAATAATAATGTGATTGACTCCTAATTAATGTTTCTATGGGGTAACAAACATTTCACCTCTTTTTATAAGGAGCCCCGTGTGAAAGGAGGATCATCAATTCCCAAAATAAAATTCGAAAAGATTATATAATATTAGTATATCCTATATTATATCGATAAGTTTAGTACCTACAATATCCTGATTTAATAGTTTTTAGACTTTCGTAGTTACACAACAAGGAACCCTTTTTTTTTACGTGTCTATTCTATCATGTGGGATATCGTTGGACAGGTCTTTCAGAAACATTGGGGGTGTTGAACAACATATTTTCGATTCAGGGGTCCGTTTGTGAAATATTTAGCTTTAAAGTGGTATTTTTCATTAGAGACATTACATTTATATTTTACATTTTCATAGAAAAGGCCTAAGACTAGCTACATTAATAACTTTGTAATGTTATTGTAAGCTGTTAAAATAAACATTTTATGAAGAAAACGGCTCATATGCATTACTACTATTAGTTTTGACGAAGCGCTTAAAAAAATACTATATCATATTCCTTCCATAAAATCAACAATTCTGCGTTTTGAAAATATTGCTATTAGATTGTATAAGGCGCTTCGAATAAAGAGATAGTCTATGTGAAAAGTAAATAGATTCAATATAATGTCGAACGAAAGTTCGGGGTTTTGATTCCCCGGTCAAGCATTAATTTCATAAAAGTTTGTTTTTAGATTAATTTAGAGTCTCGTTTTACGTAATAATCTGCTATGCAAAATGAATAAAAGTGTTCAAACCAAACTTATTTGAACCTGAAGACAATTTATAAAAGTGATAATTGAGAATTCATTTGAGATTCTATGGTAAATAAATTCTGCAATACAATAACCTTGAGAGCAATTCATATTGCCTTAGTTTTAAATAAAAATAGGTCAACCCGAAAGTAATCGCTGCCACAAGCTCGTCGTCCGTCATGTTTGCCTATCCGGAATATACTTCCCTATATATAATGTACTCTGTGGAATATACTAGCACGTTCGACGAGCGTGTGGATGCCGTGTTTGTGTTGGGTGAATGCGGTCGGTGTTTGTTCGTGTATGGTCTCCGCTAGGAGTAAAGTATTCTGTGGTGTATGGTGTATGTGGCAAACACCAAGCGGTGGAGGCGGCATATTAATCTGTGTTGGGTGTTGGAAAATGGCAGTTGGCAAGTGGCAACCCAAATTGAAACGTCATTTGAATCGATATTGATAGAATTTTCTTTGGTGGTGTACGAAAGATTTAATTGCGTATTTCTGCAGAACAGTTCCAATCGTTGTATTCTGACATCAACTTCAAAATGCAAGGCCTTAGTTTACAGAGCTTGAAGAAACACAAGGCGGTTAGTACATTTGAAATATTTTCAGTCCCATTAACATTACCTATTCACTTCTTACATAACTAACCTTATTTTTATTGTTTGAACACTATTTTTTAGTATTCTGTTATTTTGGTATTCAGGATCTAAAAAAAAGAATTCTTTGACTTCCTTTTAACCATTTTAGCTTTTTCTTCAGACTTGTAGGATAGCAGACACACCCAATAATGTATTTCTTTTTTTGCTGCAATGAACTTTTGAATCTATTGATCTACTTCAACTTGAATAAAACGTTGTTTGGGCTACTGACTCATATCATTCATAGCAAAGGTGTTATTTATATGTGGTTGACGTGTATTTGATTACAGCATCACTTATTATTTGCACATTAATGTAATATGTATACCAGAATCATAAAATTTACAGTGTTTACAGTATTACGTTAATAATTCCAGTATTATAAATAGTTACAGTATTGAACAATTATAGAGTGAATTTTAAAGACAGCTGGCTTAAGTTTTATTCTTAATTTGCTTTGAAATATTCTGACTGCTGGATAAAAGTTGGTACTATCTATGCTTTTAAACGGAAATAAAACAATATATGTTAAATTCAAAATATCAAATGTTTGACAGGTAATGTGTGCTTTTAAATGGAGATGAGGAACTGTCTTGTTGAATCAACTGTTTTCTCAGAATAACACTTGATGCGAAGCTTCAATACTTTAAATAATATTAGAAGCTTTACATGTGTTCACACAGCTAGATTAGCTTATTTTAGTTATTTTCATAGCATAATGTTGTATGGAACCTTGCTATGAGGTAATGCAACCATTTTTGTTATCTTTGTCTCTTCGAGAAAAATTTATAGAAATAAATATTTTAACTTTAGCATCTCAGTTTAATATTAATAATATGTCGTTTACGCCACAAAGGGGTGGACCTCAATTTTTTAAAAAATTACAGGAGAGCAGGAAAACATTTATTATTCCCTGATTACTAGCTTTTTTTCATCAGAAAATTAAATATATTAGACTTAATGAAAAACTACAAAAAAGATTAATTTTCTGATGAAACAAAAGCTAGTAATTGTGGAATAATAAATGCTTTTTCGCTCTCCTGTAATTTTTTGAAAAGCCCTTTTATATCTGAATTTTTACATAGTACCTATTATGCTTAAATGTAACAGTTTGTAAAATGTTTTCCAATTTGTCATGCCTTTTGGTATAGGCCTCCTCCAACAGTCTCCATTGTACTCTGTTCAATGTGACTCTTATCCTATATGTCCAATATGGTCCCAAGGTCAGACAAAGTTCATCTTCTCAACTTTTTTTTGTATGTCTGTTTTCCAGTACCGTCTATACCATAGGGTGACTTGCTTACTCTGATAATAACCATTGGAAATGAGATGATCCCTACCACGCTGTTCCTAAATGTTTTCATATTTAATTGTCTTTGTTTTCATATTTATTATACTGCAAATTAATGTTTCAAAGAACAGTCCTACTGAGTTTCTTCCTGGTTCTTACCATGACAGAGGTTTTTTCCCAGCCAGTGGTAAAATCATAATTGGCTTTCAATAAGTATATCTGTATTGTCTGCCTATAGAATAGAATAGAATAAAATAATTTTTATTCAATATCGATTACAGTTTTGTGCTTTGTGGCATTCCTTGGGGGAGGCCTATGTTCAGCAGTGGACTTATGAAAGACTCTAATGATGATGATGGATTACAGTACATAATAATGATTGAAAGTCATTTTTTACTTATACCACTGGTTCACAAAAAAACCTCTGTCTACATAGGCCAACTGCAACTACTTACCATCAGGTGGACTGTGTGCTTGTTTGTCACCCTTAGCCTATATAAAAATAAGTATTCTAGTAGGTAATCTTTATTGAATTAAAATGTTGACAGATTAATCTTCAATTATTATTTTGACGGCTCTGTGGTACAGTGGCTTAGCAATGAGTTGCTGCGCTGGGGGCCGTGGGTTTGAATCCGGTACGGGACAAGTATTTGTATGGCCTACAAATAATTGTTCTGAGTCTGGATGTTTGTCCTTGTGCAATTTGTGTTTGTAAACTGTCTAAGAAAATCCTAGTGTGGGGGTAACGTTTTAAAAAAAAAAAGAATATATGATATGTACTTAGTTATAAAGTATTAGGTATTTTAAGCCATATATCTCTCCTTGATTAAGATTCAAATTTTAGTCCTCGGGGATGAGAACACATCCACATTGTCACCCCTGAGAACTAAGATAGAATGCATCATTACAAGTGAAACGGTATCTCTGGTTCTCATCACTCATCATATAAAAACAGCAGCTCTATGTTGCTATTTTACACTGGTGTTGTGTGCAAGTGCGGTCCTTTTCCGTCAAACTCATTTGTCTGCAGTCATAACAGTAAATAAAATGTAAATTTCTGCTTATACAGTTGATTCCATTGTATGTCTGCACTGGAGTAGGATGTATGGGAGCCATGTTCTATCTGTTGCGACTGGCAACTCGTAACCCTGATGTTTCCTGGAACAAGAAAACCAACCCAGAGCCCTGGGAAGAGTACAGGAACAAGCAGTACAAGGTATGTTCACACAGAGATCTGAATGAATTTTTAAATATTTGAGGATATCATAAATATGACTTTTTTTATAGGATAAGGTTTATTAGGTAATATTTAATTTTAACTATTACTGGTCTGAAAATAAAGATTTTGATTTTTTTTAAGGGTGACAAATGAGCACACAGTCCACCTGATGGTAAGTGGTTGCTGTGGCCTATAGACATCTACAGCTATCCTCAAATATGAATCAAATTGCAGATGTGTTGTCACTCGTGAGGACTAAGATAGAATGCCTCGTTTCCAGAAAATAGGGTCTCTGGTTTTCTACACTCACCAAATGAAACACAGCAGCATTAAGCTGCTATTTTACGCTGGTATTCTGTGAGAGTGTGGACCTTCCCCGGTCAAGTCGACCCATTCGTGCTACAACTATACTACTAATATAGCTGCAGCATGGCTCTACCATGTAAAAAATGACTATGATATAAATAAACCATCAACAATGCCATATCCATAAATATACTACAACCTATTAAAAGTCCACTGCTGAACAAGGACTCTCCTTAAGATTGTCTCATCTCCCATCTCTCATCTCTCAAGAGAATTCATTAAATAAAAGCTTTTAGAAAAATTTACTTCGCAGATATCCACGTTATAAATTATAAAATATATATAAATTATAACGTGGATACTTGCGAAGTAAATTTTTCTAAAAGCTTTTATATAATGGATTTCCGCAAAGTAATGCCTGATTCTATTAATTATAGAATTCATTAAAATAAAATATAAAAAAACTGTGGTTGCCAACTCACCTGGTATACGTGGTATGGTAACTATGCCAATAATAATTGGCATAGTTACCATGCTTGGCAGGTGAGTTGGCAACTACAGTTTTTTTATATTTTATTTTAATGAATTCTCTTACACGTCCACTACACGGCAAATAAATGAATCTGCTTCCTCATATCATATTGTGGGTGTCGTAGTGGGGACAGTACAAACAGGAGATGGGCAGCGGTGTATTCCTGTTAACATAAATAATTAGTCTGGTCATAAGTTATAAAAAGTTAAAATTGTTTATTTCTACCTTATTTTAACTTAACATATTAGATAAAATTATTTTCACTATGATTGTTAAATTACATTTTGGAGTGGGCTCAGCTATATGTTTTGTGTCACATTTTCAACAAGTACCCCAATAATACCCCTATGAAGGCTACAATATATCGAGGGCATATGCTGTAAGGACCTGATAGGTTGTTAACACTGTCACTGTAGTTTCTCTTTAATATGTTATAGTAATTGTTAAACAACATCCGTAGCTAGGTACTTACCATCAATATACTAGATAGGCCTGTAAATCATTTCACTTCCTGCAGCTGTTGCTCTGTACTGTAGTAAGACACAGATTTAAAAAAATACGATTGAATGGCACTATTAGAAGCAAAATGACAATCTATATCTATACATATAATAAAACTGTAAATAGCAGATGTCTGTACATTTTATATTTTTGTAATAAAAGTGATTGAGGGGTACTAAAAATAAGTAATTAAATACATTTCCACCATTTTTAGAATTTTCTGTCTGTCTGTCTGTCTGTCTGTTTGTTTGTTAACGTATCACGTTTAAAGTACTAATTTATACCATAAGAATTGTTAAGGAAATTATAAAGTGTATCTTCGGGTTACATTTAGTCTTTATTTCATTAAAATCGGTTCATTCCATCAAAAGTTATGATAAATATTCTGAAGTATGGGTAGGGAATTTGCTCAACGGTGGCTTTGTTTGAGTCATCAAGTTGATGTTAGCAGCGCCATCTCTCTTCAATTAAATATATACATATAATAAAAATGATGATAACATGTTGTGTCTCTTTCTGTACATTGTATATTTATTTTGGTGACTAAAATCATTATGGGGAACTAAAAATAATTAAATAAGTACATTTTTATAATTTTTAGAATTGTCTGTCTGTCTGTTTGTCTGTTTTTATATGAATGCATCACGTCTAAAGTAAACATCTTTTTTTTTTCAAAGAAATCGTTAAGAAAATCATAAAGCGTATCTTCAAGTTACATTTAATCTTTGTTTTATTAAAATTGGTTAATTCTATCGAAAGTAATGATTATTATTTTAAAATGTAGGTTCGAATTTGTTCAATGGCGCCATAAAAATCTCAGAAATAGTAATAAAAAGATTTGTGTGTAAAAAAACGTTCCATAATAATTAATATATTTATACTTAAAACATAAAAAGAGATTTAAAAAAGGATGTTTTCTCACACAAAGGACGTAATAGATGGAGTTGTACAAATTACAAACTTTTCTGATTTGCTGTGTTGAGATTTTTCGCCGATGAATCGTATTGAGACTTACTGAAGAAATTTGTATCTATCGAAGCCATACAACGGAACCCGAACAAAAATAACAAAATTGCAACGAAATGTCGTGATATTGTATTTATAATATACGTAAAATCAGTACTGCCATTTTAGCGCTTTGGGAACTAGATTTAGCGCTTTTTTGGAATGTATAGCGCGCATTTCGAAATTTTTGCACCTAGCACTTAATCCAGCGCTTTTTGGTGTATTTAGCACACATTTCAAAATTGTAGCGACTAGCGGGTTATTAACTCTTTTATAGCAGCACTGTTAGTCCACATTACCGATAATAATAATAATGACCTTTATTATTTTTTTCCACAAATAGTACATTGCAGTTTATCTTTTTGAAACATATTTTTTCCACAAAACAAAGAGCATGGGAGACGAGTCCAAACTAGGATACCCTGTGCTATGGATCTCCCGGCTTCCCCTTTAGGATGATCAACTTGATTTTTTTTATAGACGACTATAAGCGGGGAAATCCCCTTCATTAAAGTTTTCGTTCATGGTTTTGGCAACGCATTTATTTTGCTTTATTCAGTTTTAGTCAGTTGTTTAGAGCACAGCTAAGTTAAAAGTTACTTAGAGTAGTACTAACTACTGTGGACAGCAATTGCCATAATTATAAGTCGATGTCCTGCGAAGTATTGATACATCAAAAAATATTGCCAGAAAAAAACTTAATGTTGTTTTCTTTATTATGATTATATTTTCTTGAATTATAAATTATAATAAAAAGCACAAACTTTGTTTGTAGTTAATTTAGCGCGAAATCTAGGGCTTTTTTAAAGCGCTGTTTTCATGAAATCTAGCGCTTTTTGTGTTGTTCTAGCGCTGAATGAGTTTTTTTGATCTGGCAGCACTGCCAAAAAACCCTCTATTAAGAAGTAACTTTCCTTTCAGTTTTAAGCGCATTCAGTTCCCAGTTACAGTCAGCGTGTGTTATGCGATGACCGTAAATAAAGTGCAAGGTCAAAATTTACGCGTTGTAAGAGTGGACCTCAGTACTGACTGTTTTGCACATGGCCAACTCTATGTTGCTTTTTCCCGCGTTAGTAGCCCCCGTAACCTTTTTGTGTACACCCCGTCTAAGTCTACTTCTAACGTCGTTTACACCGAAGCTCTATCATAAACTACTTAGAACTTTGATGATAATGATTTATTTGTTACCACTTATTGATACAGTAATGATATAAATCGTTTAATATTCTCTTACCTAAACGACAAATTCTTTATGTAAAATCTATATACGCGAGCTACGCCGCGGGCACAGCTAGTGTAATAATAAAGTATGCTCATAATTCTAAACGTGGTCCTTCACTGCTGGCCGTATGAGGAAGCTCAAGGTCGCTCAGCGAGCTATGGAGAGGGCTATGCTCGGAGTTTCTCTGCGTGATAAACTTAGGAATGAGGATATCCGCAGTAGAACCAGAATAACCGACATAGCCCAACGAATTAGTAAGCTGAAGTGGCAGTGGGCCGGCCATATAGCTCGAAGAACCGACAACCGATGGGGAAGAAAGGTTCTCGAGTGGCAGCCTCGTACCGGTAGGCGAAGTGTAGGGCGTCCCCCCACGAGATGGAGTGACGACCTGGTAAGACATGCAGGAAGTCGATGGATGCAGGTGGCTCAGGACCGTGCTTTGTGGCATTCTTTGGGGGAGGCCTATGTTCAGCAGTGGACTTGTGAAGGGCTGTAATGATGATAATTCTAAAGATGTCTCATAACTTATTGGAGGGTTTAAAGGTGGTCACAATTATTTAGTTTTGGGATTAAAGAAGCTTGGCCACAGTCTAGACTGTCTTAGATTGTATAGTTAAGGCTCTCACCATGGACTTTCTAGCAAGACTGCTCTTGGTCACAAGACATGAATAACTTAAATATAGTTTGGGAACAAATGTCCGAACTTTATAGGAGCTTAAAACTGACTTCCAATCTAGATCTAAATCCATTGAACTACAAATTGAAAAAATAAATAGAATGCTGTTTAAAACACAGCTACATTAAGTTGCTATTATGTGCAGCTTCATCATCATCATCATCACAGCCCTTCACAAGTCCACTGCTGAACATAGGCCTCCCCCAAAGAATGCCACAAAGCACGGTCCTGAGCCACCTGCATCCATCGACTTCCTGCATATCTTACCAGGTCGTCACTCCATCTAGTGGGGGGACGCCATACACTTCGCCTGCCGGTACGAGGCTGCCACTCGAGAACCTTTCTTCCCCATCGGTTGTCGGCTCTTCGAGCTATATGGCCGGCCCATTGCCACTTCAGCTTACTAATCCGTTGGGCTATGTCGGTCACTCTGGTTCTACTGCGGATATCCTCATTTCTGAGTTTATCACGCAGAAAAACTCCGAGCATAGCCCTCTCCATAGCTCGCTGAGCGACCTATGCAGCTTATTCTGTAAGATTGTGTAGCCCTTCCCTAGCCGAGCTAACTTATTTGTGCTGCAATTATAATATAGCTATGGCATGGCTTTAAATTGTTACTTAAACATGCTTCCTTTATTTGTATGTATATCCATTACCAAGAATAGTTGTACATCAATTTACTAATACTTTGTTGTTTGTTGACAGTTCTACTCGCCCATCAGGGACTACAGCAAGGAGGAATCGCCCGCTCCTAAGTATTAAGAGTAACATATGTTGCTATCAATCAAAAATGCGACGAACTGTAGCCTGTTTAAGTTAATAAATAGATTTATGTGATATCTTATTTTGCTTTCTTAATTTAACTTCCCTCCTTTCCTCACTATCAGTAGTTTACGAGGGCTGCACTAAAAGTATCGGGAATGGAATATTTCCACTGTTCCTGTCGTATTAATTTTTTTTTAACTGAAAAGTCCTTGGTTTTAAAAATCGAATACCATTTATTTATTTAAAAAAAGATTCTCGGTCTTGTCACAAGGTTTTGTCAAACTCGTTTAGTCGTTGAGAAAATGGAATTGACTCGAGAAAATTCTAGAGCGATGATTTATTGACTTTCGAAGTGGTTTAACACAAAACAGTGTGTTGACCGGATGATTTCTGCATTTGGTGATGAAGCCCCATCCAAAACCACAATTTATCGCTGGTTTACTGAATTTCAACGTGGACGTGTCAAGCTCAGTGATGATCCCCGTCAAGGTCGTCCAAAAACTGCAGTCACCCAAGAAAACGTTGATGCTGTGCGTAAGCTGATTGAGGAAGATCGACATGTGACATACCGCGAAATTCAGGCAACTTTAGACATTGGCATGAGTCAAATACAAATAATCTTGCATGAACAATTAGGTGTAAAAAAGTTGTTTTCCCGATGGATACCGCATTCGCTCTGTGAAGAGCAAAAAGCGGCTCGCGTTACTTGGTGCGTCAGAACTCTCGAAAGATTCCACGCAGGATCCTCAAATGCTGTATACAACATCGTATCAGGTGACGAATGTTGGATATACGCGTACGAACCCGAAACAAAAAACCAGTCACGAGTTGAAAATGAGTTAAAGCCAACAAAAATTGTTCGTTCACGGAGTGTTGCAAAAGAAATGGTGGCCACGTTTGTCTCCAAAACCGGCCATGTTACGGTTATTCCTCTTGAGGGACAAAGAACGGTTAATGCAGAATGGTATGCTAGCATTTGTTTGCCACAGGTCGTTTCTGAACTCTGTAAAGATAACTGCAACCGCCGCATCATCCTCCATCACGACAATGGGTGTTCCTCAGGGCTCGATTCTCGGCCCATTCCTGTTTCTGGTGTATATTAATGACTTACCTCACCTTGTAGGGGATAGTCATGATATAGTATTATTTGCTGATGATACTTCCTTGATTTTTAAACTTAAACGTCAATCATTTAAATGTGACGAAGTGAATAATGCTATATCAAAATTAGTGCATTGGTTTAACGTTAATAATCTGCATTTGAACGGAAATAAAACTAATTGTGTTAAATTTACAACAACGAATGTTAAAAATCTGAATACCAATGTGTTTTTAAATGGGGAGGAATTGAGCCCTGTTGTATCCACTGTTTTTCTTGGCATCACTCTTGACGCAAAGCTCCAGTGGGGCCCCCATATATCCAAATTAGCAAGCAGACTAAGTTCTGCAGCCTATGCTGTAAAAAAGATTAGAGGTCTCACTAGTGTCGAGACAGCTAGATTAGTTTATTTTAGTTATTTTCATAGCATAATGTCTTATGGGATTTTGCTATGGAGAAATGCGGCTGATTCAAAAACTATTTTTGTTTTACAGAAGAGGGCCATTAGAGCTATTTACAATCTAAAACCGAGAGAGTCTCTTAGAGATAAATTTAAAGAAATTAATATATTAACTTTGGCCTCTCAGTATATTTACGAAAATTTATTGTGTGTTCACAAAAACAAAGATAGTTTTAGTTCTAGTGATGCCAGTTTCTCGACTCCACAGAGTCAGTAATTCATTCTTGGGGCAATGTATACGCTATTACAACAAGGTCCTGGAAAGTGTACAGGTTCTCTCTATTACCAAGTTTAAATGTTTTATTAAGCTGAAACTGTATAAAAAGGGTTATTATAGTATAAATGAATACATAGTTGATAATAAACCCTGGGAATGAGGTGGTCGCTTCCAAGCAGTTTCAAAAATAAAATTTGTAAATAGTTCGTAATCATTTATATTGTAAAATTTATTTTAAAAAAAACTTCCGCTGGGTTTCTTGCTGGTTCTTCCCAGGACAGAGGGTTTTTTTCGAACCAGTGGTAAAGTAAAAACTGACTTTCAATAAGAATTACACATGTAATGTATATTGAATAAAAAATATTCTATTCTAATGCCAGTTCTCACACCGCACACAGAACAAGAGTTTTTAGAGCAAGAAAACATAGAATTATTAGACCATCTGCCGTACAGCCTTGACCTAAGCCCTAATGATTTCTATACTTTCCCTAAAATAAAGAATAAATTGCGTGGACAGAGATTTTCATCACCTGAAGAAGCTGTGAACGCCTACAAAACGGCCATTTTGGAGACCCCCAACTTCCGAATGGAATGGTTGCTTCAATGATTGGTTCCATCGTATGGAAAAATGTATCAAATTTCGCGAAGAATACTTCGAAAAGCAATAAATACATTTTTAAATAGTAATGTTGTGTCACTTCCTTGACTCCCGAAATTTTTAGTACCGCACTCGTATTACAAAATATGATCCTGTTAGTCAAGTTATATGGACTTAGAAAATAATAATTAATTAACATAACACTCAATTGATAAATAGGTCCTGCATATTTTCTGGGGCTTTGTTGTATTTATCCTAAAGGAAGCCACAACTACAGATAAAGTTATCTTTTTAATGAATTTAACGAAAGTTGGTGTGGGTACTCCCTGACCTCATCCACTCAGTGCCACAATTCGCTGGAATCGATTATATTAAATAGCGTCAGTTCAAGAAATTTTTGTAAGTGGTAGAGCCACGCTGCAGCTATATTATGGTTGTATCACAAATGGGCCGGCTCGACCGGGGAAGGACTACTCTAACAAAATACCAGTATAATAAAGCAACTTAATGCTGATGTGTTTCGTATGATGAGTGTATAGAACAAGATACCTTTTTTACTGCAAACAAGCCATTCAGTCTGTCTTCCAGACATTTGTGCTATAACCATAATATAGCTGCAGCATGTGTCCATCAATGGGACGTAAACATACTGACTCCCCTGCACTATGTAGCCACAGCATCCACTGACCATCAGGTTAGCTGTGTGCTCGCTGGGTTACAAACATTTAGGTGTCAAGAGTCAAGACTAAAATATTTATAAAAACTATTCGTCAATTCATTGGATTCGCTATGACGTTTCTTCGACGACTGCAGGGTACATCTCGGCTACGGTAACTCTGCTCTTTGCTCTTCCTGCATTGTTTTTTCAGATATGATTCCGGAGAATCCCTCACGCCCAAACTACCATCCTCCTGGACACCGATTCACAGGTTGCACCGCGGATTCTGGCAACTACTTTCTGTACTCATACTACTTGAGACAGACAGCAAAATTTTTGCAACATACGGGTACTTCATTCAAACCTTAACCGATCCTATGGCGACTAACGCCGGTGTTCCTCAGGGGTCCGTTCTCTCCGCAACTCTTTTCCTGCTGCATATTAATGATCTGCTTATCCCGGTATCTATGGGTATGCAGATGATAGCACAGTTGTGGAGAGATACCAACCAAGTCTTCGGGCCAATCGGGATCAAATCCAGTCTGAAAGAGAAGCTATGGCAGAGCGAGTGAATCTCACACTACAGGTAGTCTCCGAATGGGGCCATGCCAATCTTGTGAAATTCAACGCCTCCAAAACATAAGCGTGTCTCTTCAATGCAAAAAGGAGCCAGCTTACATTGGCTCCTTCTTTCCGAAATGTATCACGAATCAGTGGAGTAGCGTGCCTTAGAGGGACCCTGTATCAAAATTTGTCGGGGGCCCAAATGAAGGGTAAAGATTTTTCACAAAAGGAACAAAAACACTCGCATTGAATTAAAATAATTATATATTGATTATAAGTTAACACTTACAATGAATACTCCTAGGAACTAAGCTAGCCAAACAATTCAAACCAACATCGTGTCTCATAGAAGTCCTTAGAATTTTTGCTTACACACGTTCGGGTCATCTGTAGCCCGGGGGCCCTGTATCATTCATACGGCTGATACGGCGCTAGGTACGCCCCTGACTGGAATATACCGACCGCCTTCAGTTGTTAGGGTTTGAGATATCCTCAAATCTAAACTTCGTGTGGTTCATTGAGTCCAACGCCAAAGCAGCTGAAAGGAAGCTGGGAGTCCTTGCAAAGATGCGGCGATACTTCACACCGGGACAGTTACTTTATATAAAGAGCTTACTTTATATAAAGCGCAAGTCCGGTCGTGCATAGAGTATTGCTGTCATATATGGGCTGGTGCTGCAAAATGCCACCTAGCAGCTTTGAACTCAATAGAAAGGCGTGCTAAGAGACTTATTGGTGACTCGACTTTGGTTAAAACCAATCTTACCAGCCTCGAACACATACGCAAAGTAGCCCAGGATGCATTTCGAAGAGTGTGAATAGGAATTGCATAATTTAATTCCTCCCTCTCCCTTCCTCAATCGAACAACCAGACGTACCCGTTCGTTGTTGACTTACCAAGCATTCGAACCAAACGGTTCGCCACGTCGTTCATCATGTGTACAGCAAACGAGTGGAATAAGTTGCCAGCCGATGACGTCACACCCTCGCTGATACAACAATCGCGCTCTCGTGCTCTCGTCTGCATGCCGCTGCGCAGTAAAAATCAGAATTTTAAAGTTCTCTGTGGTAATAATAAAAAAAAATACTGTCTTGGGCCTCAGTGCTTCAATGCAACAGTTAAAACACCTGATAAACTTTTTTGTTACGTGCCTGAGGACCCAAAAATGAGGAAAAAGTGGATGACAGTCGAAAAAAGAGTCGATTCAATAGGCTCTAAAACTAAAGCGGACAGCTGTGAAGATTATTTCGATGAAAGTATTTTTGTAAGTAATAAGTTTATCCTTCTTCTCTACCTATCCTTGCTGTGCTAAACATACCTACTTGTCTACTTTGATTGTTTAGATAGATAGGTATCTTGCCAAAGTTGCCAACTACCTATCACCTAGTAGCAGCGCAGTGCAGTGCTCCTCAACCGACTGTATTGGCGGGCCACAAAATACACATACGGCAAAATATACATAAATATATATTTTCTTCCTACTACAAAATCAAACTCACGGCCCGATTTCAGAAGTATCAAACTCGCTGCCTGCATTTATCCTTAGTTTTCGTTGTATTTTTTAACGATAGTAATTTACATACATTAAACACGGGTTTTATTTAGGTTTTCGAAACGTACGTCTTTAATGTACTATTAGAACGGCTTAACCATTTTTGATAAAACATGTCTATGAACCACTGTTAAAAAACAACATTAAATACAAAATAAAAAAACAACACAGTTCACCCATTTATGAGTTACAGTACTACAGACAGACATACCACACACAGACAGACATATAGACACACAGACAGACACACATAGCGGTCAAACTTATAACACCCCTCTTTTTGCGTCGGGCATTAACAAATAACCAATAAAAATCCTAGTAAGAGCCTAGTATTTTTTATAGCCACCCATATTAGGTAAGTATTAAATGAAACACACAAACTTCCAGTAAGGTTTAAGTTTGTACAAATACCTACATAGGTATTTGTTGAAACTTAAACCTAATGCTTACCGAGGAGAGTAGGTACTTAATGCTTACTTAAAACATAGGTACGTACCTTTTCATCCTTATTCCACGAATTTCAGCAGCCGTAAAATCCTGATTCTTCATGAAATATTGTGCCACCATCAAACTATCTACTCTTGGCAGATAGTCCGACTGTCCTTTTACAAAACCTTCCATTCCAGCACTACACGTTTCACTTTAGTGTAATCGGATTAAGAAGATAATATTATTTCTTTGAAATAGGAATACAAAGAAGATCGAAAGTAAATGAAACGAGACCCGCGTAATTTGGTCAAACCGCACCGGACCGAGCGCCGTGTTTGTGTCGCAGTCGAGGTCTGCGGGGATGTGACGTCATAGTGTGAGCGCTCGTAATCTCTGAAATTCAAAAAAGGGCTTAAACTTCTCGTCGTTATAACTTCGGAAATACTACATGTATTGAAGTAAAATAAAAACTATTGTAATGTACACGATCTTTACTACGATTTTAATATTATTTGGTAGTAATATTTTGACCCTTTTGTGTTCTCCATTTTAGGAACAATATCTCGACTTGCCAGAATTTCATAAATGCTTTTAAATCTTTATTAATTACAGGATTAATATAGTTTCACCGCTCATCTGTTAGATCACATCATCTGGAGATGATGTTAGTGCACAATTATTAAAAATAAAGAGCTTGTTTAAAGGACATGAAAAGGAAGTGAGTAATGAAAGTAGTGAATCTGGTGATTCTTATATTGATACTTATCCATTAATTCTAGAAGGTATTATATTGAATAAGTTTGCTTATTAATAAAGTATGCAATAGGTATCAAATATATATCGCTTTGAGCATATTACATGCCGAAAGCATAGGACAGAAGTAATAGACGTCTTTTTATCGATAATAATATAATTAGGTATAAATAACTATATATATATATATATATATTGTACGCTTAGAAAGAAGGCAGCTGCCAGAAATGCAAGGTAAAGCTCTCTTAAAATATAAGAAAAAGCTGAAAAATGAAGTGAATAAATAGATTTCAACATTGTTTCATTTTATAAAAGCTTTTACAAAAATTTTCTTCGCAAATATCCGCGTTATAAAATAAAATGATGTGTCTTACCTAGTATGAAGAAGCACCTCCCGCCCTCCCTCAATTGCGTGCACTATCCCCGTCACTACTAATCCCAGCACCGCTACTTCCAACACCACTACACTAGGCAAGACACACCACTGACGATAATACGACACGTGTTTCGCCTCTACACGAGGCATCCTCAGGTGATATAGACTCTACGGTGGCTAACCGCTAAGTAAGCCACGCTAAGTAAGGCTCTTAGCGGTTAGCCACCGTAGAGTCTATATCACGGTCCGTAGAGTCTATAGTAGCGGTGGATTAATAGTGCACGCAATTGAGGGAGGGCGGGAGGTGCTTCTTCATACTAGGTAAGACACATCATTTTATTTTATAACGCGGATATTTGCGAAGTAAATTTTTGTAAAAGCTTTTATATAATGGATTTCCGCAAAGTAACGCCTGATTCTATTAATTATATTGTTTCATTTGCATTTACCTCGTTTTATTTTCATTATGACAAAATGAATTTTGCAAGTGACTATTATTTGGGATGTCCTTTGCCTCGTATAACTGCTACAAATTAAAAAAAAAGAAATGTCATGTATAGTTTTGCTACAACCAATCAGAAGCTTTGTCGAGTAATTTTAGTTCATAAGCAGCGTTGCAAACATGCAGAGAATTCCCCAAATTACGGGGAATTTAAAGTTGGTTGGAGATTGGAATTATGCGGGGAAAATGCGGGAATTTTGAAAAACGATAGCCCCGGCCAAATTTTTATTGAGTTAATTATGAATACCGAATGACTGCCTATTTTTAATTATCTTCATTGCACTACATTTAATTTTCAGATTAATTTTGGCAACATTAGTATATCATTTCATGCATTTTTTTACTTTTTAATTTTAAAGCAGAAAATCGCATGCATATAAATGCAGATACTGTGTTACTTTGTAATAGCAACAAGGAAAGAAATTAAAAATAATCCATGGAGTAAAATGCCGGTTACAAAACTATGGAATTTCGATAAAAAAGAAAAAAAATGTTACTTAATCTTATGAAAATTATAATAAAAATTATAAAAAAAATAATTTTAAAATATAATCTATCTTATAAAATTAGTTGAAAATTGTTTTATTTCTTAAAATAAAATTGAGGAGAATTTGTAGGGAATCCATTGAAGTTTTGTCCCTAAATTGGGGAATTTGACATTGGTTTTCGGGGAATTGACAAATTGGTGTGGGCAACGCTGTTCATGAGATGTCGGTCTGTTCGATAGAATCTACTAAACTAAATATTAGTTCAAAGTATTATTATACTCTTTGTATTAGTTTTAAATTTTAGTTTGTGTTAGCATACGTAGTTCAGTGTTCAGAAAAAAAGTGTAATTTTTTTGGCTCGCACTAGTAATTTTTGAATTGCTGTTGCTAATGATCAGTTACATACGTAGATGTTATGAAAAATAACTAAGTACATTCCGTAAAAATATTATGCCGATTTGTGATTTGAAGTGCTAATTATGTAAATGTGACGCGGGAATTAAGGTCTTATTTCGTTTAATTCCCGTTTATCTCAATAAAATGCATTTCAGTGAAGAAAAGGACTGGAAGAAAAAAGTCGGTTTCCCAATTAACTATGATTCCGGCCAGAGTTCCGATGATGATTTGTAAGTACCCATCATTTTTAGTAATAAAGTCTATTAAGTTATAGCAAAGGTTATTTGTCGTGCAAAGCTGCAAGAAAAATGTAAATGAATTATAATATTTATTACAAACAGTTCAATATTCTAATCTCATGTGTACTGTCTTATAAACAGTTACCGTTACCATTACAGCTTCCTCCATAGTGTATGTTCAGCCCTCCACTTCTAAAAATCTTTTATCATCAGATAATTTGCCCAAAAATATTATCTTACTCAATCAATCACATGTATTAATTTTTAATTTTCAATTTTATTAAAAGTAATATAATTTAAAAAAAAAATCGAAATTAAGAACTTATTTTCCATTTTAATTAATTCGTCCATATTTATAAAAATACGATCAACCCCCTTTCACTTTTGATTCCCTAATATTATTGAAGGTTTATTCAAGATAATTATTCAAGATAATTTAACTGTTTTATTTTAATAACTTGACAAAAATTTCCCCAATAATTTTATTGTCATATTACATAAATAACAACTTTTTCATATTAATTATAATTTTAATGTTGTTGTAGGAACAATTTGAGGAATTAATCAAACATCATTACGAAAATTAATATCATTTTCATCTATTAATAATCTAGGATGAATATTAGCATTATGCTGCCTATCTCCTGATTTTTTGCCTGGGTCCCTGGGTAGTGTATATTCTTACACCACCACTACATGGTATTATAAACAGTAACAGTAATTATAAACAGTAATTGTGGTTATAAACAGTAATTGTACTTAATTGATTTCAATATCAAGGAGCAACATAAAAATTACTATATTTCTTCAGTGTAATTCCCATGCAAAGTTGATTATAATGTATGAGTGTACTGAGATGACCTTCAAGACTTGAATAAAAATTAGCCAAGCAAGTGACTTAGCATTATTAAAATCTGCGGCTACTTCATGTTATAGTGTAACAATTATTAAGCTCAGAAATGATTTTGGTTTAGGCCTCATCAGACAGTTTTTATCTTATTAGGCATATCTTCATTTGTATCAACGTCTTACGGTTATATTAATAAATACTGCTATAATGTCTAATGTACTGCTATTTGTCAGTGCTGTAAATATTAGTGGCAATTATGCATTACCTTCATGTAAATTATATGATTGCTCTAAGAGAAGAATATTGCTTGCAATAAGAAAGGAGGAAAGTGTTGTGTGAGTTTACTTGGTGGTAGGGCTCCTTCGACACGAGAGGTCTGTGATGGGGGGGGGGAGGACATGTGTTATTGTTTCACTTAATATATGAATGATTATGATTAAAAAATTCATCACATTAAATTAATATAATAATAATAATTATTATTATTATTATTTATGTATTTTTTGTGTTTATTTTATTTTGTTGATATTTATGTATGTTTATCATTTTCATTTACAATTGTATATTTATACAGCCCAACCAGATGAGTGAACTATATAGATACCCCACATAATAATAATGTTTATTGATAAAACAAAATATGGTACACACTTATTATCTTATCCTTAAGATTAAAGTTTCGGGTAGAACAAAAAAAAATTTTTAATCAATAGATACTTGGATGCATAAGATGTTGTTTCATTCGAACAAAAAACAAGTTTCACCACTAAGACTGTGAACTCGAGTTCCTTAGCGATTTTAACGCCCACCACACTCAAAGGCTTGGTTCACGTTTAAAAGATCATGCGGGGAGATTTGTTTAATGACTTTGTCTTGGCATGTGGTCTGGCACAACTGCTTACTTCGCCTACACGGATTCCAGATGTGGGAAATAATGCACCTTCCGTGATAGACCTTCTACTAACCTCTCACCCGGGCAGATATCATGTCTCCGTAGACGTCTCTCTTGGCTCTTCGGACTCTGACTCAGAATGTAGTGCAACTCACGCTCCTATCGCGGTTCTGCACGCTGCCACTGTGTTTGGCACTAAAGGTCAGCGGATTGTCAACGAGATACGGTCTTTTTTTGCATCCTACCAATGGAGTGCCGGGTTTGCTTCTCATTAGGTGATCCCAGCGCTTAGCTTAGCTTAGTGGCTTAGCTTTCCATTGACTCCCGTTGAGTTGGGGGTTGATACGTATTTTTACAGAAAAGTTACACTATTATAAGCACACACGTAAAGTTTCAATATGCGGAAACGCGTACTTTTTGAGAAAAAACATTATTTGAAAATTAATTATTTTTACAATGTTTATGTTACATTCCTAGCGTAAAACTGGCGCCATTTTGTAATGTCATTGTCGTCGTCAGTACGGATGTCGATTCTTTCCGAAAAAGATGTCTTCGAAGAATTAATTAAGACTATTCAATATGTTTACGAAATTCGTAATAAAATTGTCTCAAAAGAGCTAGAACCCAGAGCCGTAAAGCCAATTAAAAAAAAATATTGTTAAAATAAGTGATTTTTATTCATTTATTTCTCAAAAAGTACGTGTTTCCGCATATTTAAGTGCTTATAAAAATGTAACCTTTCTTAAAAATACGTATCAACACCAAACTCGATGGGAGTCAATGGAAAGTCGTACCAAAAAAGTTAACAGTTTGGCTTTAATCACAAACCTATGATCACATTGAAGATCTATTTACAATAATAAAATGAGCTGAGTTCTAAAATTTACACCAAACTCGATGGGAGTCAATGGAAAGTCGTACCGCTCAATGCTGCTGTGTTTCATATGGTGAGTGTAGAGAACGGGAGACCCTTTTTACTGGAAATGAGGCATTCCATCTAAGTGCTAACGGGTGACACCACATCTGCATTTTGATTCATAGTCAAGGTAGAGGATTGATGTAGATGTCTATGGGCCACAGCAACCACTTACCTTAGGTGGACTGCGTGCTTGTTTGTTATCTTTATCTTAAAAAAAAATACCTGGGTAAAATGAGTAGCCAGTGACACTGCGAAAAGGTGCCATATTAAGGCAAGGATGTGATAATCTCCTAATTTTTGCTTACATAAATGAATAATAATTTAATAAAGCACATGGTGAACTGTTTTTGAGTTGTTTTTTTAAAGTAAAATAACAAGACCAGCACCTCATCTATTCTCGAGATGCTAGTGCTGTTGCCTGTGCGGCTCTTACAGGTTCATCTATCTAAGGCGGCAATGATGATCGGGATGTCGATATCAATCTGAATTAGACTTGCAATGAAAAGTATATTCATCCACATGCCGAATAAAGAATATTATGCAAGCTTCCTGGCTGAATAGTCAAATATTAGGCAAAAGTATTCGGCCAGGAAGGAAATAGTGCTTATTCAGGGTGTCTTTTCTCCGAAGCTAGGATTGTCTATGGTAAAAATGGTGTAAATTACTGCCTGAAAATGCAGAAAAATAAGTCTTTTTGCACCATAATCTTCCACTTCTACATTTTAATTACCATAATTCTAGTGCATAGACATTTATTTCATAGGTTTTTTTGTAAATATTTATAATACGGAAGTTGATTATGACTACTTTAATGATTACAAGAAATTGTTATAAAATAAATCAATATTTTCATTGTACTAATCATCTCACTACAACGACACTTCTTAATTAAGTATTCGGTATTCAGCTGAATAGTACCTAAATACTCGGTATTTGACCGAATAGGAAAAAAGTAGCCGAATAGGCCGAATACTGAATAATAGCCAAATACTGGTTGCAAGTCTAGTCTCAACAGTTTAAATATGTAAGTATGTCTAACAATGTTTAATATTTCTTTGTCTATTCTTATAATTAATAATGAAACACTTCCGGCCTAATTTAAGTATAATTATTAATTAGTAAATACTACATACCTATGTATTAAATAATGCCTATCCATAGTAGATAATATAAAATTATGTCTCAAATAAAGTTTAAATTCTGTTTAAAAATAGTAGGTTATACTGTCTGGAATTTCAGTAAAAATTAATTTTTATTATAATTGCTACGCTGCTGCATGCTATGCTCTGAGTTGCTCTGAGCCACTGTTACCGATATAGCCAATTGGATCGAAGAAGTGACAACTGATGGGAAAGAATGGTTAACAAGTAACAGTTTAGTAACGGTAAAAGAAGTGAAGTGTTTTGTGGCATTCCTAGTGGAAAGCATATGTTCAGCAGTGGGTTAGAATAAGTTCGAAAAATTCCTCTGAGCACTCCCTGTAGTAGATGCGATAGTGTATGCAAAGGAATGCAACATCTCTTCACAGCGCCTGAGAGTCAAGCTGATTAGAAAGAACTCGGATGATTCGAGCCCCTTTATATTGGAGAACAGAATTCCATGTGTAGCCGAACTAGCGCCTTGTAAAGTTGCAACTGGTGTGCCGGCATAAAATACTGCCCTGCTCTATATAATATATATAAAGCAGGCCAAGATTTTTAGATGCCAATCATTCTATGGAACTGCGGAACTGAACGTCATTTGATATGCCGTCGCGGGGGATTCCGAAACTGGCTGAGGAATGCTGTTATCTGCATAATAATGAATGTTACTGGGTTGTAACATATGTTGATGTGCTGAAGGAACAGGGTAAGTGATAGCACGCAGTCTTGTGGAACACCAGCATTCTCAGGCTTGGAGTTGGAGCATACACCGTCGACTATGACTTTAATGCGCCGATCTGAGAGAAAACTAGTGATCCAATTGCACAATTTCTCAGGGAGCCCATAAAAGGAAGCTTCAAAAGAAGCGTTTGTGCCAAACCTAATCGAAGGCCTTCGCTATGTTCAAACTAACTGCCAAGGCTTCCCCTGTGGACTCGACCGCCTGCGCTCATCGGTGTGTTAAGTAAATAAGAAGATCACCAGCTGAGCGACCCCGACAGAAACTGTACTCTCGTTTTAGGTTTAAAGAATTGTTTTATTTTATATTCCACTTAATTATGATACCCATATATGACGACTTGAAAACGACATATTCAGATAGCGGGGGCTTAGAACCGGGTTCCCATCACGACCGGTATACCGTGTAGCATTGGACTCCTACTAACTACTAATTGGACTGGCGGTTAC